CAAAAAAAAAAAAAAAAAAAAAAAAAGCATTATAGCATACTGACTTGGTCAAGCACATATTCAATGTTTCTGCCCCTCTCTACAGTATCACGCTGTATCCTCCTTGCAAGCCGCACATCGGAGTCTGTACTGGCAATATTTTAGCGTTGGTCATAGATCAATGCAAAATGAAGACAAATTTATAAATTGAATGGTTGAATCGTCTATTAAGCAGCAACCCTTAATATTTAATTTTTATTTCAGTACTCAACTTTGAAGAGATTTTCCAGCCATGGGACATGAGAATCTTATTTCGTATTTCTTGCAGTTGTAAGAAAAAAATCAACTACTTTGTGTCAACCAAGTTGTAAACCTTATTGCCCACGATATGCCAATACTACTGAAAAAAAGAAGGCCTTGAATTGTCGATAAAACAATTAGAGGATCGGGGAAGATGCTAACGCACAGCAAAAATATATAAATATGTAACATTCATCTTGTCAAGGCCTTTCTAAAATGCATGAATATTATTAGTATGCTTGCACTTTATGTCTTATTTATTATTTTTCCTTCGCATACCTTATCTGGTTGGAGAAAAATTCAGTGATAATGTAAAGTTTTCCCTCAGGAAGTAGCTTTCTTAAGAAATGTTCAAACACTGACGCCACCATCATTGCGTTGTTAATTCAATTCTAATGAATTAAACCTTTTTGTATGCTTAAGCTTCTAAGATAATGAGTGAAACAAATGCATCTTTTGGGAACAGTTATACCAAAAATCAATTTGTGAGGATTTATAATTTTCCATAAGATATCTTTGGTGAAGAACAAGGAAAAAAAGAAAGGACAAAAATCATGCGGACATCCTTCAAGAGCAAAAGGTGGTTCGAGAATAGATAGAGGCCAAAATCCATATTGACGATTTCAATGATATTGGAGGGGATATAGCTCAAAGCAGGAACCTGTATCAACAAAGATCTTCATGTTCATAAGATCACGTACACGAGAATCATGGAGAACTAGGATCCCTTCTAAAATAATGACATCTGCGGGGTTGACCTGCATTTACAAAGAGGATACTACATAGTCCATCTCAACGATTTTGGTGCTAAAAGTCAAATCAGTGTCGAAATAACAGGAAACGAGGAATATCCTGCTTGATCTAATCATAGAAAGCCTCTGTTCTAGAAGTCCTTATAAACAGTTTAATATATAAATAGATAAAAATTAGTGGTGGAAAAGTGGATAGTACATGTTGGCCCATTGGAATGTATGGTTGAAAATGAAATTTGACCTTTTATAAACGAATTATAAATTGTTAATAAATTAGCCAAACGGAGTGTTCGTGATAACTCAAGCAGCAAAATCATCAGAAATTTCCCATGCATGCCATGCCGTGTGCATGGTTCCATAGTTAAATTTGATTGGTTTTATCTTCTAGATTGTGTACAGTTAAGTTATTATCACAAGTCGATGTGTGCATAAAGCCCAATGACAGTGAAACTATGTAGCTCAGACAAGGAAACTGAAACATTATTAGAAGTGTTTTCATGTTGATATATGTATTGAAGGAAAATGTTAGTACCATGCGGAAGTGATCAATTTTTTGGTGTCTCTTGAAATCATAATTTGGGATGCTAACTGCTCTTCCATTACTTAATGTCTCCATACATGAAAGCAGAAGCTCTGTGTCAAAGGCATCTGGAAATAATATGTGCATAGCTGAGTTATTGTTACAATGCCAATGAAATGAATGAATATAGCATCTTTTACACAAAAAATTCTAAAGAGTTGCTTTGGATTTTCTAGTAAATGAAGCAACAATTGATCATGGTGAAAAGATTCAAGAAGCCTACCCCAAATTTATCATGAGTAAGACTCTATTAGTTTCCATTGTTGTATTTATTCACAGAAAAATATGCATTATGATTTATGCATACCAGGATGGTCGAAGTTGTACTCGTGGACTTTCTGTAATTGCTTATCGGTCAACAAGTGATAGAATGAATCCTGAAATATCACATACTATTTCAGTAAAGTTCTCTACAATGTAATACTGAACAACCTAAGCATAAAACCAAAATTAAGAAAAAATATAATAATTTCATTTGTTTAAAGTCTAAACAGGTAAATTGACGGAAACAACATTAGTGTGTAAGAATACAACATGAATCTTTTCCCTTGTCTAGAAATATTTGTTAGGTCCTTCAACCTCTTTAACTAGACCAGAAGCAGAGTTTTGGGCTTCAAGAGTATAATAATCACTAGTTTCTAATAGTCTTAACATTTCACAAAAAACAAAGAACGCGAATCTTAAATTACGGTAAACTAATAGTCAGAGCACCTAATTGAAGCAATCTACCCAAGACATCATTGGTTCTACACTGAAAAAAATTAGCAGAAAGCAGATTCCTCTAGCGCATACGAGGCACCAACCATGTCAAAATGTATCCAAAATCTCCCAACACAATAGTAGAATATATATCACCACTAAAATGTTACTCCAAGTAAGCGTGATTAAAATTTAACAGATAGTACAAACCACAATATAGAGCTAAAAAATATTTACTTGATTGACAAGAATAACCCGCTGATCGTGAAGTTGCGAAATTATCATATTGCAAACAGTCGTTTTGCCAGACGCAGTCCCACCAGCAACACCTTCAATTGATAAAACAAAACTAAATTTATTTCACCAGCTTAACATTGATTACAAGAGGAAATTCGAAGAAGCGTTACCGATTATAAATGGTTGCTTGAGTTCGGAACCACCATTTGATTGAACCGAAAAGTGATTATCATCGCTACTTCTCCGAGCTGAAACCATGTCAGAATCCATTGTCTATGCTTATACAAAATAAAACTAATTTCATCAATCTATCAGAAAATAACACCATTGTGCATATATAAACATTGTGCCACAATTTCCGAATCCATTGTCAGAGATCTCACTTAAATAAACGAATTTCACAGATGAAACTGAAAACATAACCACTGCGCCACCATTTATAATCCAATGTCTATGATCTCGCACAAAATCAAACAAATTTTAGAAAATAACACCATTCCAAAAATATACTCATGGAAACGCTCCAGATCCAATGCAATCGAGAGTTTCTGGAAGTAAATACAAAGATAATTGAATATATTGTGTGAATATACAACTGTGTTCGAATCATGTGAATAATAGTTTGTTAGATAGAGACATTTTAGTCGTCTTTCTGTTATGAATTCTTTGCTGAAGTGAGAGAGATTAGCGGGAAAACCGCTTTTATATACAAGTACATATAGGTC